GTTTTTATTCCTCCTAACTTTAAAAAAATTGCCAATAGGGAAGTTATTTCTAATACGTCATTTCTATGCCTTTCCTAATAGAGTTGCAAGCTAAGGTGTTAGAACCTAAAACATCTTGTCAACTTATTCAGTTTGTTACTGTGTGTGTCAAATTCAATATTTAGAGAAGTCAAGCTATCTACATATTTAGATGTTTGTTTTATATTTTCCAATCAATTTTTACTAAAGTGAAAATTTAAAACCTTAATGTATCAAACCATAAGTTTCTTGAGCATAAATATAATGTTTCAAAAAAACAAATTGCAGGGTTTTTTCTTCAAATACTTCCATTTTTCTCTAAACTAAATCAGCTATTGATTTGCCACCAAGGTCATTGTCCCATCTTTTTTTCTTCCAAGTGTCAACATCTTGTTCATGTCACTGTTTATTAAGACTTTAAATAGCAAAAGGCTCAGACAGAATAAAAAAAAACATTAATTCATTTAGTCACTTAAAATCTAGTGCAGAAGCTGTAGTAGGAAAAAAAATAGAATTATTAGGAGTATTGCGATGGAGAGTTTATCTGACATTCTAGTTTGATACTCCTCAGGATAACTGATATCACAGTATTAGCAGATACCTGAGTTAAATGACAGATATCAATTTGTCTCCAAATCTCGGTATGATTTCACCATTGCTTTTTTGGGTTAACTCTGGGTTTTCATTTTCATTTGGAAACATAACTTATCCCAGTTGTGAAGACTGCCTGGACTCTGGTTTGGAATGTTTCCCAACCAAGGCATTACCCTCTTAGAAAATACTCTTTTCCCAGACTTGGAAATACATAAGGATCTGGGTTGCCATGCTTGACTTCAAGGTGACCCTAACACAACTTTGTGTCCTCTTACTATCTTTACTCCTAAAGGTAAAGCAAAAACCAAAGGATTCAGTTCTCAGGAATTGTCCCTCTCGTCTGGCAAATGGGAAATTTCCCCTCTGCTTTCCATTGCCGGTTTCCCGCTTTCCTCTCTCACACTCATTCAGTAATTCGTCAGATATCCACAGAGCCCTTAGTGTGTGCAAGGCAAACAACCCAGCACTGCAGGAAGCACTGAGACATGGAGCCAGGGCTGACTCTATCCCCTTGCCTTCTGAGGATGTTGAGGCCTGGTAGAGGATGGGACAGACATCCAGCCCTTAAACAACAAAGTGGTCCCTTAAATGCCTTCTCAAAGGAGGGATACAGTGCATAAGTAAAATAATAGTGATTAGTAATTATCATAAAGTTTATTCCTTTACTCACGAGCAATCCTCCCTGGGCAAGTCGCCTACGATTTCCCTCTAGAATTGAAGCATGCATTCGCAGAAGGAAGGCGGGGCCACTGCTGGTGCTGGGCCTGGCATGGGGGCACAAAGAAGCAGGGAGTGAAAAGACTCTTTCATTCCTCTGGCAAAGGCAGCCTTGCAGCTGGGGCCATGGTCTGCTCCGCTGAGCCTTGGCCTCCTGAGAGAGATGTGTTCCTCTCTTGATCCGAGTCTTAGCCACCAGCCGCGGGTAGCAGCCAGGAGATGGGGAGGACAGTTAAACGACCCATTTAATTTTACAAAACGTGCATAAACGTTTTATTTTTCCCTCGCAATCAAGAATAGCCACTGAATTTAAACTTTTACCTGTAATCCCTCTGCTTAGAATTAGGATGGTGAATTTCCAATTAACGTGGGCTTGTCGGTATGTCCTTACCCCATCGGCTTCCTCATCTGTAAAACCAGAAAGTGGTAACAGAGGTTCCTAAGGTTCCTCCCAAATCAAAACAAATATGATGTTTAAGTCAAGAGAATTTCAGGTGACTCACACTTGCCTGTTAAGGAAAATAATATAAAAACAAAAAAGTATTTGCCTATTTTCGCCTTTTTCTATCATTTTAGATTACTTATTGTAACTTAGCGACTCCACTTTGTGTTTATTGTTCCTCCACTAACATCCCCGGCTTAAAATAAGAAAAATGTAAAGGTTTCTATTCCGAACCAAAATTCTAAACATCGACGCGCACATATGCCCCCGGACGCAGCATGGAAATGAGAGCCCAGCTGAAACCTAACTCCGTGGTTCCTAAACCAGCGGGCATTAGAATCGCCTTGCTAATTTGGTAGGGAAAGCGAGGCCAAGAGTTAATGGTTTTAAGTTCTAAGTAAGACTGATGCTGTTGGTCCAGGTGAAAATAACCATTGCTTTTAGCAGAATTCCTTGGAGACCTATCCCCAGCTTCGATTCTCTTCAAATCCCTTCAAGTCAGAACGGGCCTCAGGCAATGGCTTCTCCCCTCTGCTGTTTGTCGACTGTCAGCAAGTCCTGATAATGGTGTTTTTCTTCACGTCAAAGCACTTCCCACCTATTCCTAACCGATTGCCCACCGATTTCTCTGTTCCTTGGCAGGATTTCAAGCCCCGGTAAAGCTTGCATTTTAATACCTAGCATGACCGTTTTCCTTTTGTTTGCTTTTATTTTGGCAGCCGATTAAGAAGTATTTCTCGCGCATATCCCTTTTTAATTCCTCGGCCACTGTGGTCCAAAACTCTGCCAAAAGTTCCGTGCTGCCCAGAACGCAAAATAAATGGAAGAATGCGAGGCCAGTCAAGCGAGGGTAGCGAGGCCGAACGTTCGCAGCGCGTTCAGCTAACGCGCATAGAGGGGCAGTAGCCAGTCTGTGGTACCAAGTGCTCATCTTTGCAGGATGTGAGCCTAAGATTGTGGAAGGAAGGGTTCTTCTGTTTAAAATTTTTATTTTATGGTATTTAGTAGATAGTCTTTAGTAACAGAGAAACAGCTTTATACCCCTAATCACAGGAAATGCTTTTCAATTAACGCTTCTTTATAATCAGTGTGTTCTCAGGTCCCTATCTCCAAAGAGGGGTCTTGAGAATAAATGATGCTGGAAGTCTATGGTGTAGCAATAAAGAGGAAGAAGGGGTGTTTATTTGTATGAGATAAAAACCATAATTTCTTAAGGTACTTATATGACTTAATTTCTTAAAATGCTGATACCTTACGCTAGAGGTATAGTTACATACCCTATTCTCTTTTTATCTGCCAATAGGAGGAATCAAACCTGATCTCTTGTTAGAGCCTGATATCCAGCATTTAAACAAAACAAAACAATCCTAGAGGCTTATTTAGCAGCCCTCTTTTTTTTTAAGTAAACTCTACCCTCAACGTGGGGCTCAAACTCATAACTCTGAGATCAAGGGTCACATGCCTTTTTTTTCTTTTTTAAAGATGAGACCTGTATTTTTTTAAAAGATTTTATTTATTTGACAGAGAGAGAGACAGCGAGAGAGGGAACACAAGCAGGGGGAGTGGGAGAGCAAGAAGCAGGCTTCCAGCAGAGCAGGGAGCCCGATGCAGGGCTCGATCCCAGGACCCTGGGATCATGACCTGAGCCGAAGGCAGACGCTTACCGACTGAGCCACCCAGGCGCCCCAGGGTCACATGCCTTATTAGCTGAGCCAGCCAGGTGCTCCATTAGTGGCCCTCTTTCAAGCTGATAAGGCAAGCTCCACTCTTCTGTTACCTGCCCCTCCTTCCCACTTCCCTTCCGGCTCAGACAGTTTTGGCACTTGGCAGGAAGAGGAGTGAGTCAGGGGGAGGCCAGTGGGAACAGATGAAGCAGAGGGGCTGCTGCTGGTGGTGATTGCATGGGGGGGGGGGGGGATTTCGCCCCAGTACTAAAAAGATCCAAGTTGCACTTGTAGACAAGCTTGTTGAAGCCAGCCACTCATCCCAGCCCTTCCCAGTTCTGCCCACCCAATGGCCCTCCCAGGTACTAAGGCATCTCTTTTCCATTCATGGCCATTATGACTAATTTTAAAAATTACATGTATGTTTTTAGTATGTGCTGTGTGTATGTAAGGGTGAGAGTAAGGCTTACTATGCTTCAGGCTTCACTATTCTAGCCATTGCCCTGCATCTCAAGAATTCCAAATTTCTTTTCTTTCTTTTTTTTTTTTTTTAAAGATTTTATTTATTCATTTGAGACATAGAGATACACAGAGAGAGAGAGAGCATGAGCAGGGAGAGAGGCAGAGGGAGAGGGAGAAGCAGGCTCCCCGCTGAGCCAGGAGCCCGATGCGGGGCTTGATCCCAGGACTCTGGGATCATGACCTGAGCCGAAGGCAGACACTTAACCATCTGAGCCACCCAGGCGCCCCGCCAAACTTCTTTTCATCTAATGCTTCTGAATTAGAACTTTCTGCTAAATGTAATCAATTCAATAGAACTTCAAGCTTCCCTTTAAAATGGCTTAAATATATGAAATAATTTCTTTTTTGAAAGCTACTCACTCAATGACATCTTTGACTACTTCACATTTCCAGAAACATCTATCATATTTTACTAAAGAGATCCCAATGTCACACAAAACTTATCAACGCAATGCCTTGACTCTTGTGGCCGTGTCATGAATTATTACTGTGGGCAGAAGCTATTGTATTACTCCATGACTTTTATCAGTACACATTGGTGGTGACTTAAACAGTTCCTTTTTCTAGATGTTTTATATTTTTTTGTCTTTTTTTTTAAAGATTTTATTTATTTATTTGAGAGAGAGAGAATGAGAGAGAGCACATGAGAGGGGGGAGGGTCAGAGGGAGAAGCAGACTCCCCGCCGAGCAGGGAGCCCGACGCGGGACTCGATCCAGGGACTCCAGGATCATGACCTGAGCCGAAGGCAGTCACTTAACCAACTGAGCCACCCAGGCGCCCCTTTTTCGTCTTTAATTAGACTGAGGTACTGGAGTGGCCATTGCTTTTGTAAGTGAATATTCTCAGTTCTACTGCTATTCATGATGCAAAGATGGATACTTGCCAATTATTTACTCTGGCCAGGGGCATTATTTATTTACAGAGCTGGTAATGTTTTACGACTCGCGTGAACTGGTCTACATCCATGGTTCTGCTCTTGTTCTAAATTTTGCTTTCCATTTCATTGTAAACTTGAGTTAATACAGATATTGTTTGTTTTTAGCTTTTCACTAGGTATTCAGGTCAAGAAGATAACAGATCTCTGGCTTGAACTCTGAAAGCAGAAGTCCTTGAGAAGCCTTTAAGAATTGGATCCCTTCAAGGCTGAAACTGCTGTTCTCATCAGCTTGGTAAATCTAGATTAGACTTTTTGTGATTTGTGATACAGTTATATACACTTACTGTAGAGTTGCTGAGACAATAAAAGTTAATGACTGCCACCTCCCCCCCACCCCCCGCCATGGGGGCCCGGGGAAGTGGCCTGGGGAGAGAAGAGCTGTCAAGTCCTTGCCTTGCCTTTGCTTCTCATGGAGACAACAGCATTCTCCAGAAGCACCCCTTCCCCCCCAAGATTAAGTGAGTCCCACCACCAGTAAGCACAGACATGCTCAGGTTTCTAGAGAGAGGCTACTTGGTGACTGACCTAATTCAACCAGCGGGAGACCCTGGCACAGCAGATGACCAGGGGAAAAGCTTGGTACACCCTTTTGAAAGGCAGTCGGATCAGTGTAAACCAGAACATTCTTTCTGAATAGAAAAATGCTATTAGTCATGAAAATGATTTCACTCCTCATACTGTCATCTCAAGTCTATGAATAAGTACGTGATAATACTAATAAAGTTGATGATGATGGCTTAATTCCTATGCATCTAGGGATCCACATTGTTTGCAGAGCAAAATCACGTTCCAGAGGCAGAATCAGCAGCCACAAATTTTATAAAGTGTTTACATTCTTTATTTTTATTCACTGAAGAACATTAGAGAGATATGATTCCTAATCTGGGGCAACACCTTTTAAAAGCGCCTTCCTCCACTCTCCGATTTTCCTGTACGCTCTGGGCTCTCTCCTGTATCAATGCTCTGACACTGTCCCTCCAGGCTCTGTCTGTTTTACACTGAACTCTTCCTCTTCTTTCTTGCTCTCTTTTTTTTTAAGATTTTTTGTTTATTTTATTTGAGAGAGAGACATTTGAGCTTCAGAGAGGATTATTAATATTCCCACGGGCATGTTGCCTAAAAGTGGAAAAGTCCAGTTCTGAATTCAAATCTTTATTCCTCCAGCGTCTACACATCTGCCACATCTGTCACTATGCTGTTATCCTAAATAATTAATTCAAGGGAAACAAGTCATTTGTACACAACATTTAGATTAGATATGGGCCAAAGCGTCAAAGCACAAAAATATGATTAGGTAAATTATTATCCAGCAACTTAATATTAATAGACTTATGTGGCCATTGAAGCATTATACAATAGATTGATAAAAAAATAAATGAAGTTTGGTATACATAAATCATAATCATTTAAAATTAAGCATACAGAATTAAAAATCATAAAAGTCATGAAGATTGCAAGATATGTCTATTAAGGTGAAGGGAAAGGGGTCATGTGTTTCTCTAAGATTAAACTTTAAATGACTTCTGCTTGTCCTTTGAAAGAAAGATTGTCATTCCCGATGTCCTGATTCTGTTGACTACAAACTTGCCGAGCTCAGAGTCAAGCTGGGAAAGCTAATATCCCATATCTGGTAGATCGAGACATTTCATATTTTTTCAGCTTCTTATCTATCCCGTTTCTACCCAAATAGTGAAATAACCTAGAACAAAGCCAGCCAAACCTCTGCTCTCCTCCCTGCAGGGGGCACTGTGGGCCTGTCTAAATGGAAGACTGGCAGCCACCCGCCCAGGTCAAGTGGTCCATCGACAGTTCAGCTTAACTGCTCAGCCCAGTCAGGACTGTTCCTCTGATACCTGGCACTGGATGTTCCCTATTCTCCCTTTCCCTGCTCCCCCAGACCACTCTGCTAGTTGTCCAAGGATCAAAGAGCTGCTGCATGTGAAGTGTGACTTGGGGAGATTTTGTGCGTCAAATCTCAAAGCCTTGCTCCTAAGGGAATTGTAGACCCTAGGCTGAGGGGAATTTGGCAGCGAAGATAGATTTGAAGGCAGGCTCTCTCGGCAGCTCAAAATTGCCTTTCTGCTGGTGGGAAGACTGCCTTTCTGAGGGCCTGGATCCTCAGAGGGAAATAATCTATTTTTTTTCTTTTAATGTTCTTTTTTTTTTTTTTAAGATTTATTTATTCATTTGAGAGAGCAAGAATGAGAGAGAGTACATGAGAGGGGGGAGGGTCAGAGGGAGAAGCAGGCTCCTCACTGAGCAGGGAGCCCGATGCGGGACTCGATCCCGGGACTCCAGGATCATGACCTGAGCCGAAGGCAGTCGCTCAACCAACTGAGCCACCCAGGTGCCCTATTTTTTTTCTTTTAAATAATCATTCTGGTGATTATCACTTTCATGAAAGAGCGGAGTTTGAAAAAGAGACTGACCAGAGCATATAAAATAGTCCTGCTGTGCTCACAGGTCAATTCAGGCATGCTCTCTAAAGAAGTACCTCTTTATTCTAGAGGTGCGTGTGGATTCTCTCTTACTAGACAAATGGCGTGAAAGGTCAGGATTCAACAACTCTACCATTCTCTTTAGCAGGTTTATTTTAAGTTGAGTTGTTTTCTTTTATGGTTCAGCATAGGAGGCCTCACTTTGCTCCAAACGCTCAGACGCTGAGCTCCCAGAAGGTAAGGCATTCTGTGTCTGGGCAAGAGCTTGTGGTTGCTGGTGTGTGATTCATCCATCCGTAGATGCTTAGGCTGCTTCCGTATCTTGACTATTGTAAAAAAATGCTGCAAGGAACATAAGGGTGCATATGTCTTTTTTAATTGGTGTTTTTGTTTTCTTCAGACTAATAGAAGTGGAATTGCTGCATCACATGATAGTTCTATTTTTAATCTTTTGAGGAACCTCCATCCTGCTTTCTGCAGTGCTGCACCGATTTCTATTCCCACCAACAGTGCACGAGGGTTCCCTTTTCTCCACATCCTCGCCAACACTTATTTCTTGTCTTTTTGATGATAGCCATTCTAATAGGTGTGAGGTCATCTCTCATTATGGTTTTGATTAGCATTTTCCTGATGACTAGGGATGTTGAGCACCTTTTCACATACCTTTTGGCCATTTGTATGTCTTCTTAGTAAAAATATCTATTCAGATCTTCTGATTTTTTAAAAAGATTTTATTTATTTATTTGAGAGAGCGAGTGAGTACAAGCAGGGTGAGCAGCAGAGGGAGAAGCAGGCTCTCTGCTGAGCAGGGAGCCCGATGCGGGGCTCAATCCCAGGGCCCTGGGACCATGACCTGGGCTGAAGGCAGACGCTTGACTGACTGAGCCACCCAGGCACCCCTCTTCTGCTGATTTTTAATCAGATATATATATATGTATATGTATATATGTATATGTATATATATATTTGCTATTGAGTTGTAGGAGTTCTTTATATATTTTGGATATTAACTCCTCATATATGATTTGAAGATATTTTCTCCCATTTGATAGGTTGCTTTTTCATCTTATTGATGGTTTCCTTTGTTGTGCAGAAGCTTTTTAGTTTGATGTAGTCCCACATGTTTATTTTTGCTTTTGTTACCTTTGCTTTTGGTGTCAAATGATTGTGAATGCTCCAAATGCCCCTGAATTATACACTTAAAAATAATTAAGATGGCAAACTTTATGGTTTGCCTGTTTTATCACAATAAAAAACCCCCACAAAACTAAGATCAACTTTGTGTCTTCCTATAGATCGGCTTGCCACTTAAAACCTAAAATGCCCTTCCTGATATTTGTTCCTAACCAATGCCCTTGCCTCTGTCTTGAACTCTACGCAGCCACCTGGACTCTGCTTGTGCCAGAATCACACTTGAGCCCATTGCTGCCTGACCAGTCCCTCCCTCTTCAACTGGCTTTACCCAGCTCCCTGGAATGTCACCTTGCCTGAGATTTGCACATTCCATTTATACCCTTACCTGTCCCTCCACCTGTGACTGGGAGATTGTATATCATGCTTTACTCTCTCCCTCTGGCTTAGATTCTTTCCTGTAGGGCCTCAGCTTTGCTGCCCTGCTTGTCTGAGGGCTGACAGACAGATGTATGTGCTACATACTTCCTCTGCCTTATTACTGTTCCCAGATCGCGGTACACATGTGTTACGTCTGTGAAGGGAGGCTGGAGGCACTGCTTGAAACAGCATTCTCTCCTCCTCCTCCTCCTCTCCCCTCCCCCTCTCCCCTCCCCTCTCCTCCTCCTCCTCCCCTCCCCTCCCCCTCCTCCTCTCCCCTGCCCTCTCCTCCTCCTCCCCTCCCCTCCCCCTCCTCCCCTCCCCTCCCCCTCCTCCTCCTCCCCTCCCCTCCCCTCTCCTCCTCCTCCTCCCCTCCCCTCTCCTCCTCCTCCTCCCCTCCCCTCCCCTCTCCTCCTCCTCCTCCTCCTCTCTCCTCCCCTCTCCTCCTCCTCCTCCTCTCCCCTCCCCTCTCCTCCTCCTCCTCCTCCTCCTCCTCCCCTCCCCTCCCCTCTCCTCCTCCTCCTCTTCTTCTTCTTCTTCTTCTTTTAAGATTTATTTACTCGAGAGAGAGACCAAACGTGAGAGCAAGAGAGAGCACAAGCAGGGGCAGGGGCAGAGGGAGAGGTAAAAGCAGGCTCCCTGCTGAGTAGGGAGTCCAGCCCCTGGGGCTCGATCCCAGGACCCCGGGATCATGACCTGAGTAGAAGCAGATACTTAACGGACTGAGCCACCCAGGTGCCCGCATTCTTTTTCATAGATTCAGACTTTTGTGGAAAAATTGATACTTATGATTTGGGAGGAAGTTATGTATTTACCACATTCATCTATATCAAATGCTAATCGAAAATCTCAGCTCACTTATGATGAAGAACATTACATGATACATATTGGTTGGAGATAACGACATTCTCCTCCTGGTGACATCTATTTCAGGGATAGAAACTCCTGGATCCAAGTGTCCTGCTCTCTCCCCTCTTAGACCACTGAGTCTGCCAAGTAGCCTCCCAAACAACTAGTTGTTATGAAACATATCAAACCATAATAGGATTCTTCATTACTTGAGAACAATAGATTGTTATATGCTCAGTTAGAGAAGGCATTGCTTTCAGAGGAAAATCTTTTGATAATGAAAATATGCTTGACTTGATAAAATATCCGATACACCCTGCCATCTCACATACTTGTTGAGGGTGGTGGTGATTCCACTAGGAGTACATAAGCTTAGTGCCATTTAGACATGTCATTAGTTACTAAAAAAATATTCAGGGAAGTAACTGCTTTTATATTTATTCATTCATGCACTCATGCATGGACTCCACAAATCCTACTGAGTGTCTACCGTGTGTCAAGCACTGTCCTAGGAACTATGATTATAGTGGCATGAGGGTGAGTCCGAGGTTCTCTTTCTTTACTTTTTATTATTGGAGTTTACATATAAGATATTCTTGGTCCCAGGCACTCCTAAAACTCGAAGGTTCTGGAAGTTGTTTGAGGCTGGCCAACAAGGCCAGACACAATGGGAACCCTCCTCCTATTCTCAGCCCGAACAGTCCTCCTTCTCTTTCTTAGATGGTTTCTCTGACTCCTGACACAATTTCCCACATCCATCCAAAATAATGCCCATGGGTGAAGTCTTGTGGAAAAAAAAAAAATCACCTTTAAACTATAATACCACTTGTCTGCCTGAAATAGGATTGACTGCTCTTTTTTTCTCTTTCTGAAACTCTTTTAGCAAACCCAAGTAATCACTAGAATTCTGAAATGTGAATATATATAATCTTTTAACTTTGGCTTATGTGAATCATAAAGCATTAGAGAAATTAGCTTTACAATCTTTCTTGCTGAAAAAAATTCAATTTTCTTTTAGTCTCACCAAATTGGCTGAAGGGATTTTTGCAAAAAGGCAAATCTATCATTATCACATTAGGATTTATTGGAGGCAAAAATGGGACCATTATTTAGAAACTACAATATAGACTATATTTTGGTTGTTTATACTTTCAGTGAAACTGTGTAAAACAAAACAATGTGTAAATAAGATTTTAGAGTAGCAGGATAATTTTAAGATCTACCGAGTCCATCCCATTAGAGAACTTAAAAAAAATTTTTTTTTATGAAATTCTAGTCATCCTTAATATAAGAATGCTAATTACTCAAGGAGTAATTAAAAATTTGTCCAAGCCCAAAGAGACTGCCTATGTGGGCAACTGAAAAAGGTAGAAATTTCCCTTCACAGCTATAATTTGGAAAGAAAATTTCTAAACCATACAATTTACAAAGATGTCTTGCTTCCTCTTTGGAAAAGACTTGGACTTGATATAACACTTACCTGATGATGTGGAATTTTGAGAACTTTCAGAGCTATGGACAGCACAAGCACGATGAGTGCGGAATAACGAGCATGTCAGTTCTACCTGGCACTGCAAATACCAGCATTTCCTGGCTTCATTAGTAATCTTGTTGCTGCTGTAACACATTACCACACATTTAGTGTCTTAAAACACACATTTGTTCTCTCCCAGTTCTGCAGCGCAAAAGCCCAAAATGAGCCTTACAGGGCTACAGTGACGGTCCCCCTTCTGGACCCTCCAGGGGACAGTCCATTCCTTGCCTCTTCCAGCTTCTGGAGGCTCCCACGTTCCTTGGCTCATAACCATTTCCTCCCATCACTCCAATCTTTTCCTTCCCTCATGGAATCTTCTACTGCTCTCTCTCATAAAGACCCTAGTGATTCCTTTGGACCCACCCAGATGATCCAGGATCATCTCCCCAACTCAAGATATTTACCTTTACCTTTACCTCTGTGAAGTCTCTTTTACATGTAAGGTAACATTCACAGGTGCCAGGGATTAGGGTGTGGATATTTTTAGGGCACCTTTATTTAACCTATCACACTGAGTAACCAGAGTCAGTTATTTAACTTCTGCAAGCCTCTCAAATGGAGAAAAAATAAAGATATTTTGTAAACTCTAGAAGGATGATACCCATGTTAATATTTATTCCATCTTTAGCTCTGTGGATCTATGAAAATCTCACCCCAACCAGAAAAGTCTGCATCACTGATTTTTCAGCCTTATTTAGGCATAATTGACAAATTGTACATCTGTAAAGTCTACAGTATCATGTGAATATCTGACAAACATATACTTCATGAGATAATTACCCCAATTAGGTTAACACGTCTATCAACTTATATCAAGCTACTTTGTGTACATGTGAGAATGCTTAAGGTCTACTTTCTTAGCAAAGTTCAAGCACACAACACAGTAGCATAAACTGGTCACCATGCTGTACATAAGACCCCTAGAACTTATTCATCTTCTAACTGAATGCTTGTACTTTTGATCAGCACCTTCCCATCTCCCCCACTCTTTCCCTGTTGTTTCTACGAGTTCAACCTTTCTTTAACATTCCACATTTAAGTGAAGTCATATAGCATTTGTCTTTCTCTGTCTGGCTAATTTCACTTAGTGTAATATCCTCTAGATTCATTCCTGTTGTTGCAAAGGTAGGTGTTACTTGTATTGCAATTCCTTCTCAGCTGGAGACTCTCCTAAAATTCTTACGAGTCTTAACCAAGGAGAGGGGTTGAGTCTATGCTTGATCTTAAAAGAGAACCTGGCATTTCATTGCCCATAATGCTGAGACAAGCTGCACAGAGGGCAGGGCTCACTAAACACTTGCAGCTGAATGGAACTGCACACCATCGTACTCATATCATCTGATTCTTTTTGACTAAGCGCTGTCCCACGGGCTAGTCAAGGTATGAGGGGTGAGTGAGAAATTACTGAGATTATAAGATGCAGTTGGGGTGGAAAAATATCCTTTGGCTTCTACTTAACCTACATGTTCAGATATCCCAGAACACATTTTTATTCTCACCATCACAATATGCCGACAGTTCTAAAATCAGCAGCAGTTGATCCAGTTTGGAAATATGAGGGTGGATGTAACAGAATGGAACAAAGGGACATGGAGGTAAGACAGTGAGTGCTGAGAATGGTATGTGGGTTGGAGAAGGAATTAAAGGACAGTGAGATACAGATTAACCATGCAGCTGGTATCTGCCAATTAATACTATAGCTGTGAAATTTAAAAAAAAAGAAAGAAAAAGATGTGATAGCAAGTTAGTGATTACTTCAGGATGAAAGACCTACCAGTACAATAATTATTTGTTTAAGCATTGGTCTTTACAGAATATCACGCTCATTAACAACTTGTGACAAGATTTAGGTACAGTCTGAAGCTGATAATTAATTGGTACCATATATATCTTGTAATGTAACTAAAAAGAAAAGTAAATTTAGTTACAAAAATGTAATTACACACAAAGGTTACAACCTGGGAGGTTGATTGATGGTGCTTGAAATGCTTCCAATTATTTTTAAAATCTGCTTTTTGTTATAATATGAACAAACCTGAGGGTGTTTAAAAGTAAGCATTAGGGGTACCTGGGTGGCTCAGTTGGTTGAGTGACCGACTCCTGATTTTGGCTCAGGTCATGATCCTGGGGTCCTGGGATTGAGCCCCACCCCATGTGGGGGCTCCACTCAGTTTGAGATTCTTTCCCTCTGCCCCGCCCCTTACTCATGCTCTCCCTCTCTAAAATAAATAAATCTTTTATTTATTTTTTTAAAAGATTTTATTTATTTATTTACAGAGAGAGAGACAATGAGAGAGGGAACACAAGCAGGGGGAATGGGAGAGAGGGAGAAGCAGGCTTCCTGCCGAGCAGGGAGCCCGATGCGGGGCTCGATCCCAGGACCCTGGGATCATGACCTGAGCTGAAGGCAGACGCCCAATGACTGAGCCACCCAGGTGTCCCTAAAATAAATCTTTTAAAAGAGTAAGCATTAAAATCTTTGAAAGTATAAATCAATGGAAATTTTAAAACTGCTTCATAAATATTTTATTAAAATATGTGGAATGCTAGGAGGGAGGCAAGATGGTGGAAGAGTAGGGGCCTTATTTCATCCTGGTCCCTTGAATTTAGCTAGATAACTATCAAATCATTCTGAATACCAGTGAATTCAACCTGAGATGTAAGAAAAGAATTGCTGGAATCCTACAA